GATTTACTTTATCAATGAGTTTTATATAGGTTACATTGCGTTTTGTTCCAAGATGAGTAAACATTAATTATTTTATGGGTAGGTCTTATTGTTGGAGAAACACGGTATTAGTTATTGTTGTTAATCTGTTACAGTGCCTAATTTATAAATACACGTTTTCAGGTATATATGTATAGGAAAAACACAAAGTATAGAGGGTTTAGTACTATCTAGAGTTTCAGGTATTTACTGGGGCTCTTGTAACATATCCCCCAGGCATAAGGGGCACTACTGTATGTACTTCTCTCTTGCAATGCTCTGAGATAGGGCAGATATTATTAAATGCGAGCACCTGGGCCAGCTGGCTGTGGACAATTTCACTATATTCAAAATGCCCTTAAGTCTATGAAAGATACTTTCTTAACTATAGATATGCTAAAGAAGGATTTACTATTCATTAATGATACATACTTATTATCTCCTACTTATAAAAGTGAAAGATTCATAGATATTAATTTTTTACTTTGAATTATAATGAAATATTTTATTACTTATATCAGAAACAAAGCAATAATGCAAATTTTCTATTTCATTCATTCAATAATGAATAAGAAACTATCCAGCACAATGAATACATCATTATATCACCTTTTAAATCCAAAAAGTTTTATTTAACCAATACAACCATATTGAATAAAATCAGCATGTGATAAAATCAGTTGCTTGCTTAATAATGGAAAATAACAATCTCTTTTTGAACAATACATCCAAGAGTATGTCATAGAGTTTGATGCAAACTTCAGTCCAGGTCAATGTCCTGCGGCTTATGCTCTCTCATAAACTCTGGTGGAAGTAACACCTTTCATGACACATTCCTAGACATGCCAAAAAAAAAAAATCTTGGTCAATCACTGGGACTAAACGATTGGTTTATTTGTTGTATCTCTCAGTGTTGGGAAGGAAACAATATTAATTCAAAAGACATTTGTTCTGAGCTCCTATATATAGATCTCATATTGTAATAAATTGGAGAGATACAAAGACCAGGAAGATACAAGTCTTCCCCTCAAAGAAGCTTGCAAAGTACAGAAGAGATAGATTCCACATGACATCCCCCCAGATGGTGCACAATCTCCAATCATTATGTATGTATATACTCCTCCCCGCCCCTCCCTGCCCAACTACCCATTACTGTAGTACTATGTGTCCACTTAGGTGCCTGGCTCAGTTAATACCAATTGCGGTGGTATATGTGGTGCTTGTTTCCATTCTTGGATATCTTCATTAGTATATGGGTCTAGCTCTAACCAAGGAAAATATAAGAGTGCTATATCACCGTTGTTCTTAGAGCTGAAATACTCCATGTATACTATACCTCATTTTATTAATCCATTCTTGGATTGATGGACACTTTGGGCTGTTTCCACAGCCTTGAAATGATGAATTGTGCTGCATAAACATTTGAGGTAGGTTCTTTTTTGTAGAGTGTCACTGAGTCTTTTGGGTAGATGCCCAGTATGGGATTGCTGGACAAATGGTAGGTCCACTTGTATCAACTTTAAAGGTATCTCCATCTTGCTTTCCAAGGAGGTTAACTATTTGCAGTCCACCAAGCAGTGTAGGAGTGTTCTCTCTCTCCGCATCCATGCCAGCATTTATGTTTGGAGATTTTTGATAAAGGCCATTCTCACTGGAGTTAAGTAAATCTCATTGTGGTTTTGATTTGCATTTCCCTGATGATTAGAGATGTTGAGCATTTTTTTATATGTTGTTGCCCATTCTTCTGTCTTCTTTAGAAAAGTTTCTGTTCAAGTCCTTTGCCCACTTTTTAATAGGGTTATTGATTTTTTCTTGCTGATTTTCGTGATTCTAAGTTAGATCTAGTTATCAGCACCTTATCAGATGCGTAGGATGCAAAAATTTCTCCCATTCTGTAGGCTGTCTGTTTACTTTCATGACTGTTTCCTTTTGGTTGGCAGAAGACTTTTTAGTTTCATCATGTCCATTTATTATCTTTTGTTGCTGCTGTGATTCCTTTGGGGACTTCTTCATAAACTTTTTGCCTAGGCAAATGTCTAGGAGAGCGTTTCCAACTTTTTCCTCTAGAATTCTAATAGTTTCCTACTTAGGTTTAAGTCTGTTATCCAGCATCGAGTGAGTTTTGTGAGAGTGAAAGGTGTGGTCCTGCTTAGCTTCTACAGTGGCTATCCAGTTTTCCCAGCACCATTATTGAAAAGGGATTCTTTTCCCCAGTGTATGTTTTAACTGCTTTGTCAGATTAGATGACTATATGAGATGGTTTATATCAGGATTCTCACATCTGTTCCTGGTCAATATTCCTATTTTGTGCCAATACCATATTGATTGATTACTACAGCTTTGTAGTATAGTTGATATCTGGCATATTATGCCTCCCAATTGTTTTTGTTGCCTAGAATTGCTCTTGATATTCGGGTCTTCTTTGGTTCCATACAAAGCGTAAAATTATTTTTTCTATATCTGTGAAGAATGCTGATGGATTTAATAGGTATTGCATGAATCTGTAGATCAGTTTGGGTAGTATAGACATTTTCGATGATATTGAGTCTACCGATCCACGAGCAGGTATGGTTTCCATCTGTTTACATCCTCTGCTATTCCTTCCTCAGTGTTTCATAGTTCTCCCTGTAGAGGTCTTTTACTCCTTGGTTAAGTAAATTCCTAGGTACTTTAATTTCTTTGTGCTATGTGAAGGAATTGAGTCTTTGATTTGGTTTCAATTAGATTGTTGTTGACGTATATAATGCCCTGATTCTGTGTATTGATTTGTATCCTGAGACTTTACTAAATTCATTGACCAGTTCCAGGAGTTTCTGGTTGAATCTTTGGGGTTTCTAGATACAATTCATATCATCAGCAAACAGTGAAAGTTTGATCTCTTCTGCCACTATTGGATACCTTTGATTCCATTTTCTGTCTGATTGCTGTAGCCAAGACTTCCAGCACTATGTTGAACAGAAGTGGAGATAGTGGGCAGCTTGTCTGTTCCAGTTCTAAGTGGGAATGATTTCAAATTCCCCATTCAGTATGATATTGGCTATGGGTCTGTCATATATGGCTTGTATCATTTTAGGTATGTCCCTCTATGCCTATTTTCTAGTGTTCGTATCATGAAGGTTTGAATTTTGCCAAAAGCTTTTCTGCCCATCTATTGAAGAATCCTGTGGTCTTTGTTTTTGCTTCTGTTTATGTGGTGAATTGCATTTATAGATTTATGAAGTTGAACCATCCTGCATCCTGGGATGAAGCCCACTTGGTCGTGTGGATTATTTTTTTGATAATTGTCTGGATTCGGTTAGCTAAGATTTTGTTGAAATTTTGCATCTATATTCATTAGGATATTGTCTTAGTTTTCTTTTTTGTTCATCCTTCCTGTTGGTACAGAGTAATATTCGCTTCATAAAGCGTGTCGGGGAGTTTCCGTTCTTCTCGATGTTGTGGAATAGTTTCTGCAAGATAGGTACTATTTCTTTTTAAGTGTGGTAAAATTCGGTGTGAACCGTCTGGACCGGGACTTTTCTTTTAGGGAAATTTTAATTGCTGTTTCTATTTTGCTCCTTGAGATTGGTCTGTTCAGGAATCTATTTCTTCCTGTTGAGCCTAAAAGGCTGTTGTGTTTCGAAATTTGTCCATTTCCTCTACATTTCTCAGTTGTGTGCATAAAGATTTTTGTAGTATTCATAAATTGTATTGTATCTTTGGATCAGTTGTAGATATCCCTTTTTGTTTTGATGGAGCTTATTAGAGATTTCTCTTTTGCTTTCATTACTAGCCAATGGCGTGTCAATTTTGTTTATATTTTCAAAGAACCAACTTTTTGTTTATTAGTCTCCTGATAGCTTCCCGGTTTTCAATTTCATTTAGTTCTGATTTGATCTTGTTGATTTTCACTTCTTCTGCTGGTTTGGTTGGTCTGTTCTTCTTTTTCCAGCTCTTTAGTCGATTCATTAGATTGTCTATCTGTGATCTTTTGACTTTTGGTTATAGGCTTTTATGGAGATAAACTTTCCTCTCAGAACTGCTTAGCTGTGTCCCAGGGGAGTTGATAACTTGTCTCTCATTGTCATTTTGTTCATAGAATATTTATCTCCCGTCTTGATTTCTTCATTTATGAAGTAATCATTTAGAAGGAGGTTGTTTAATTCCACGTTTTTGTGTAGAAGTGTGAGTTCTGTTAGGGTTAATTTACTTTATCCACTGTGATCTGAGAAGATACATGGTAGGATTTATATTTTTTAATTTCTTGAGATTTACTTGTGTCCTAGGATAATGGTCAATCTTAGAGATGTCCATGAGCTGATGAAGAAGAAGGTATATTCAGTGGATTTGGGTAGAATGTTCTGTAAATGTCAGTCAGACCCAATTGTTCTAGAGTTTTGTTTAAATCCATTATTTCTTTATTAATTTTCTGTTTGGAGGATCTGTCTTGTGCCGTCAGTGGGGTGTTGAAATCTCCGGTGATTATGGAGTTGCTATTAATCCATTTGCTCAGATCCAATAAGGTTTGCTTTATGAATCTGGGTGCACCTAAGTCGGGTGCATATATATTTAAAATTGTTATCTCTTCTTGTTGAACTGTGACCTTCACCATTATATAATGACCCTCTTTGTCTTTCACTACTTTTGTTGGTTTAAAAACTAAATCGTCTGAAATTAGAACTGCCACGCCAGCCTTCTTTTGGCTTCCACTTGCTTGGAATACTGATCTCCACCTTTTACTTTTAGTCTATATGCATCCTTGCAGGTTAGATGTGTTTCCTGAAGACAGCATATACTTGGCCTGTATTTCTTATCCATTCAGCCAGCCTATGTCTCTTGAGTGGAGAGTTTAAGCCATTCACATTTATTGAGAGAACTGATAGGTAAGGTAGATTACTGTTCATTCTGTTGGGTTGGATGTTGTTGCTTTGATTTCTCTTGAGCCATTGTAACATCTAGCCTTTAATCTTTGGGTTTTGGTTGTTTTTATATTTGTGAATTTTTATTATGGTGTTCCGTGTGTAACACTGTTTTGAGTACTTCTTGTAGGGCTGGTCTTGTCTTGGTGAATTCTCTGAGACTTTGCTTATCTGAGAATGTCTTTATTTCTCCTTCATATACAAAGCTTAGTTTTGCAGGGAATACGATTCTAGGCTGGACATTGTTTTGTTTCAGAAGAGTGAGAATGGGGCCCCAGTCTCTCCTTGCTTGTAAAGTCTCATTACAGAAGTCTGGTGTATTTGAATTGGCTTTCCCTTGTATGTTACTTGCTTCTTTCATCTTACAGCTCTTAGAAGGGCCTCCTTAGTTGGTATTTTGGTCAGTCTGATGACTGCATGTCGTGATGTCTTCCTGTTTGCATTGAATCTCCCAGTGGTCCTCTGAGCTTCTTGAACTTGTATATCAAGATTTTTAGCAAGGCCTGGGAAATTTTCCTCTATTATATCTTCAAATAGCTTGTCCACCCCTTGAGTGTTGTCTTCTTCCCCTTTTGGTAACCCTATGACCCTCACATTAGGTTTCTTCACGTATTCCCACATCTCTCATAGGCTTTGCTCTTTTATTTCTCTGCTATATCTCTGTGACTGATTTATTTATTTATTATTATTTATTTATTTTTTGAGACAGAGTCTCGCTTGTTACCCAGGCTAGAGTGAGTGCCGTGGCATAGCTCACAGCAACCTCAAACTCCTGGGCTCAAGCAATCCTTCTGCCTCAGCCTCCCGAGTAGCTGGGACTACAGGCATGCGCCACCATGCCGCTAATATATATATATATACATTAGTTGGCCAATTAATTTCTTTCTATTTATAGTAGAGACGGGGTCTTGCTCTTGCTCAGGCTGGTTTCGAACTCCTGCCTCGAGCAATCCGCCCGCCTCAGCCTCCCAGAGTGCTAGGATTACAGGCGTGAGCCACCGCGCCCGGCTTGATTTATTTAATTGGAGGGTGTTATCTTCAATCTCTGAGTTTCTTTCTTCTGTTTTATCTACCCTGTTCTTGAGACTTTCCACTGTATTTTGTAGTTCCCTGAATTGATTCTTAATTTCCAGGAGTTCGGTTAAACTTTTCTTCATTGTGTCCAATTTCTTTAGTGAACTTTTGTTCCAGGTCCTGGAGGCTTTTTGTGGTTCTTTGTGTTGGTTATTGTTTGTTCTTGCAGGCGTTGATTTTCTTATGATCCACATTCAAATCCTCTTCTGTCATTTTGGTTGCCTGATTTTGGTTGGTGTCTGTTTCTAGGGGCTGTTGCTCCTCTTTGGGGGTTGTTTTCCATTTGTTCTTCATATTTCGGGAGTTCCTTTGCTGATTTCTTCCCATGTCAATTTCACTT